CTCCGGCTCGGCTCTGCTGAGCCGGGCAGCCCCGCCCCTCGAGTCCTTGCTTCGCAGTGCTGCTTCGCTGTGCCCCTCCGCCCTGCGCCAGTGCAAACCCCGCTTAGAATTGCCGTTTCTTTGAACTTCACGTCGTGAGCGGCCATCATCAGCATCGTCATGCTGTCTAAGCAGCGCATTTGAAGCGCCAACCGTGTGCTCCCATCTGGACTCTAACTAGTCCCATCACGCCCAAAGTTCCCGGTAGCTCACCTGCCTCAGGTGTCAAGAAATCTCAGGTCCGGACCCATTTTTCACAGCAATCCCGCTGCTTTCGCTATATCGGGCTTCGTCCTCACCACGTATCGCCCTGCGGCCTCAATTCCTCAGGGAATTATCTCCGATCCCTCAATGGGGATCAAGTCCAATTTGACTCCAAATCAGGGTGGGAGTCTCGTCGATATTAGTCGTGGTCCCTTGTGGTCCGTAACACTCGGAGGTCACCATTTGTCGTTGTTTGTGAGGATGACCAAAATAATAAAACTGGGCATTCTATGATGATGGCCTAAATTCAGCTTTTATTGCTTCATCCAGAATATTACATCTTGTTCTTCACACAGCTGCACTCACTATCTGTAGAATCTTACATACTAACACTATTCTTAGCTTTGTTATCTGTAATTTACCACTAGCCTTCACATATGATTGGATGTTCACCTCTTATTTACATTCTTTTCCATGCTACTAGGCACTGCGGCCTTGCTGCATCCTCCAACAGGAGGCTGACTTGCCTTCCCCAGCACAATAATTACTTGTAAGAAAATATTTACCACATGCATTCTGGCAAATGTTGAAAGCCAGATGCCCCAGCTACAAGATTTTCACACTTGACCTGACTAGTATTTTACTGTGGCTTAGATGGCACTTTATAAACTGCTCTGGCTTAAAGGCTGCTTGTGTCATGTTTTCTCAAGAAGCTAGCATGGAAAATCCTGGTGAATAAGTCAGAGCTTCTCCTTCCCAGCTGTGGGAAGACTGCTGACCTATGTCAATGACTGACTGATTTCACACAAGGCAGTTTTGAGCAGGGAGTGGAACTAGGCATGTCAGAGATATCTTCCCACCAGCACTGTGTGATCTGGCAGGCTGTGAAGGCCAAAGTTTTGTCATGAATGAGGAAGGCACCAATCTTCACCATGTTTCCAGTTGTAGGAACAGCTAAACAAGACAATACCAGCCATCTGGATGATAGAAGAAAGAAGAAGAAGAAGGAGAAGAAGGAGAAGGAGAAGAAGAAGGAGAAGGAGAAGGAGAAGAAGAAGAAGAAGAAGAAGCAGTAGCAGCAGCAGTAAAAATATTGTGGTCCTGAGTGAGCCAGAGCTAAGATTAGTGTGTGTGTGAAAAGAATTGCAAGGTCAAGCTGAAAAGCCACTTAAAGCATGATTGTTGTTTGTGGCTGAAGGCAGCCATGGGAGTGTCTGTGTGGAATGTGTGCAGATAAGTAAAATCTTGCCTGGCTTGATAGCTCAGACCCTTATTCTGTATACAATGAAGTAATAAAGTTACAAGAGAGTTCTGCCTGGACAAAGTCTGTCTCCGGTAGATTCATTTGCCAAAAAGGGTGCTGAGTGAGGGACCTTCGCTGCATCCAGTCATGCTGCAATTCCACTCTCTCTCTCAGCCTGGTGCTGCTCCTGTGCTTAGCCTGGTGAAAACCAGAGTACAGGGTTAAGATTGATGGGGGAATGGTGGTTGCTGACATGAAGTCAGGTCTTAGCCTGGTACAGAGTGGTTCACAGTCTGCGTTGACTTTAGTCATCTCTAGTGCCCATTACATATCCTACTAAACCAGCTTGTGCTGGAGTGTTGGATGAGGGATTAAAAACAGTTGACTGATAACCATGAATTTTGAGCAGATGCTGGGACTTGCCTTCACAGAAGCTGTCAGACCTCTGCTGTTGCTGGAGCCACTGGCAGGATTTCACTAGCCAGAGAGGAAAGGATTAGACACAGCAAATTGCATGGACCTCTTAACAAACAATTGCAGCTCAGTGTAGCTGTTCACTGTGCATGTCATCCACTAGTGTGGAAAAGAAAGTTTCTTACACAATTAAGTGGAGTGAAAGTAGCTGTTGAAAGAGACTGCACATATTATATCACTGTATAAATTATTAAGGTGATGTCCTTCTTTCTTCTGTCCTGAGGATGGCAGCTCTGAAAGTTTACACCCACTTCCTGGAAGTTGTACCTCCTGTAGACTCTGCTTAGATAATTAATTTGCAATATTCATTAGCCAGAGGATCAGTGTAATAAAATATAGACAAACAGAAGGATTTCATACTTATGTATTGACTCAGCTGTGGGGTTTTTTCTGGTTGTGGGTGAAACTATTGTTGAGTAAAAGGCTGGGGGGACACACAAAATAAAATCAAAAAAACCCAACACTCTAAACCCAAACCAAATATTTTTATCTTTATCTGTTTGATATTTCTGAACAATACTTACAAGCAGTAGTGAATCACAGGCAAGACAGGAGCCTGTGGCTGTAGCTACATGCAGGGCTCCATGCTTTTTCTTAGCATCTGCAGACACAGAGAATTCTCAGAACTGAGTGGAAAAGATGTGCTGTGCTTGATATTGCCCATGTTCTTCTCCCATGTGCTGCAAATGATCCAGCCGGATCCAAGCGCTTACTGGAGCATAGGGCCTTCCCCTATACAAAACCAAGCTATCCCCAAATACAGAAGAGTTATGAAAAGCAGCTCTCCTCCCCAGCTCTTCTCTGACTCCAGGAGAGATTAGGTTCCTCTTGTTCCTCTGGACCATTTCTAAAATGTACGTGGACATTGGCTCTCCCCTTCCCTGGTGAGCACTCACGACCACAGCAATGGGGGGTGAAAGTGTCTGCCCTGTGCACAGCACTGTGTATGTCTGCAGGCACCTCTAGACAGAACAGCCTGCCTGTTTCAAAAACAACACTTCACACATGGTCACTTCCCATATCACTGAAATCCAGTATTTTTATGTTCCCGGCCCCCTTCTTCCCTCCCTTTTTTCCCAGAGGCCCGGACGAGCCCTCAGGTGGTGGAGACTTGTCACAACACTGCAGGCAAAAGAACCATGTCTGAAAGCAAAGGAGGCAAGCATGGGTGTGGTGTGAGATCTGTTGTGGCACTCAAAATTAGGAGTACTTGGAGGCTTTCAGAGCTAAAGTCAATGCCTACCTCATCGTCTTTCCCTCTGGCTGAAATGAAACAGAGAACAAGCTGCAGGTCTGTGCCCTGTTCATCTGAACAGTTGTGCTTGCTGGACATGTGTGTGCAACAGGTGGAAGGCCTTACTGAAGGAAACCAAACCCAACACAGGCAGTTTTCCATTACATGTGTCTGTCATGAAAACTGTGGTTGTCTTGTATTTTGGCTGGTAAGTAGGCCCTACCATGGTGAAGCTGCTGTTTTCTGCATCCCCCAGCCATCACTCCCAGGGTCAGCAAGTCCCTGGGGCTGGGACAGACAAAGCGCTCCTGTAGCAAGGTCATTTATTCAGAGAGAGATGCTGAACTTCAGTTGTTATGCAGAACTATAAAAATAAAGCCATGACTGTTGATTAGTGCACACTGGAATTCCAGGCACACCTTCTTCTGAAACCAGTTCCCTCGTTTCCTCCTGAGGGTACAAGTACTACAGCAAAAATGTCATTTAGAAAGAGGCAATGTTTTAGGCTTACAGAGATATCTGACAATTAAGGTAGATGTCTTAAGGGATATGTGGCACTTAGGCTGTAGAAGTGTTAAAGGACAGATTAGAAAGAGTTCTTTCGAAAATGATAGAAAGTTATTTTATACTGACTTGGTGATTATTAAAATTTTCTAATTTTGACCTTTAGGCCCCTGAATGGGCATATTTTTAAAAGGTAATACGATGAAAAGTATTTGCTATGTTCCAAACACAGCTCTCTGATCTGCCTAGTGTATATTTTATTGACCCAGTTACAGCAAGAAGCTTTTATTGAACAGAGTAGGCAAATGTATGTGGAAATAGAAGACCCGCCATCCTTGTGACAATTATATGTCTGTCTCTATTTGTGTAATCCACACTCTCAGCCTGATAAACAAGAGTCTGTGCATGGCTTTTGAAAGGAAAGTGACCATCACCTTCTGTGATGTATTTTCTTGCATGCGCCTCAGGTAGGCTGTAGAGCAGGTAAGTCTTAGCCTTTGCACGATGATACTGTTCAGGACTCCAGCTTTACTTTGAAGTGCATTCTCCCTTTTTTAACTTTCTTCTGGGATCTAATAAAATAAGTGTTTCCCTTATACCTGATTTCTACTTTTAGTTACTTTTTGAGTCAGGTAGTCTGCAAGTAATTACATTTCCATCTCTTTTCTTTGCGTCATTTCTTTGTGTATCTTCTGTCTGCATGCTCGATGAAGCAACACTTTTGGTGCTCAGCTCACATTTGTTTATATTGCAGACAATTCACATGAAAAAGGGTCAATCCAAGCAAACAACAGAGTAAATTGAAAGCTGACACTTGCATCCTTATCACTGGTGGTCTTCCTCTAACCATCTCTAAACTGATGTGAAACTTTCTTTGTCAGTGTGCACCCACTTGAGTTGCTGATATTTGTTGACTCTTGAAAAAACTTTTAAATGAGCAGGTAGAGGGTAAGCCTTCATTTTCCCTGTGTTTTCACATATGGGTACAAAAGACTTACCTTTACAGTAGCTTTGCAAAATAGATGCACAGTAGATCACCTTCTTAAATAAAAATCTTCTTTTCCACTTACTTTTTGAAGTAATTGCTTGTGAGTTTAGGACAATGTTTTGTTTTATTACAGTCCATCCTTGCTCAGACACAAATAAGACGATGGACCAATGAAAGCCCAGCTTTTCTGTATTGGTAAAAATGTCTCCCTTTAGCTGGCCCTCCATCCCTTCCCAGAGACTGGCATTTTGTTTCGTTCTTCTGCAATGTCACTGACTCTGTATCTTTGCCCCACAGCTCTCCCACTCACTGCTATGACCACACCACTGAAGGATGCAATGGACACCTTGATCAGGATTTTCCATCACTACTCTGGCAAAGAAGGAGACAGATAAAAGCTCAGTAAAGGAGAACTCAAGAAGCTTCTCACCAGTGAGCTCACTGACTTCATTCCAGTAAGATGCAGCTTCTAAACCTCCTGAAGTACTGTTTCATGGGTGGGATAAGCAGCTATCCAAGTACTTGGGTAGAGATAGTATCTACTTTTGCAAGGCCCATCCTGCCACAGCTTCTCATATAACAGTTCTTTGTGGAGCTGTACAGAAGGATATGATGTCAAATGTCCCATTTAAGAAGTGTGTTTTCAGAGGGTGGTGGAGCCCCAGTGCCCTGTGCTCTGCATGTTCCTTAGCACTTTTGAACAGGAGAGCGAGGCCAGCCTAAAAGCAGCGACTAAATCAATGCTCAATAAGGCTTTAGTTAGTTAGCTTGTTTGTGTATTTCATTTTCAATAATAGGGCATAGATAAGTCCTTTGAAGAATTAAATACAGCAACCAGTTCTCATGAGGCAGAAGCTTGTGCACACTGGCCACACAGTACAGCTGCTTGTGTGCCCTGCAGAGGGATGCTAAGAAAAGCCTTTCAGTGATAAGCTGCTGATCTGAATATTTCTTTGCACATTTGTTGTGTCCTACATTACACAGCATGGATGATTTTATGAAATCAAAAGCATTAATAATAATGTTTTTAAGTATCTTCTTAATTGTAAAAAATATTGTGGACCCTATGACCACCAGCAGGTTTTTCTTTACATTGTATCCCTCTTCTTGAATTGAATTTTTTGTTAATCTTGGCTATTATTTATTATTCTGAGATTCAGTGTTCTTACTCCCCCTGAATAGGATGTGTTGTTTGTCAAGAAGAGATCTTCTGAATGTGATGAATGGATGTATAATGTGACCACTTAGGAAGAGCTTGTTGAAAATCTAAGTACTTTTTGTTAAAGGATGATAGAGAAACGCACATTATAGATCTATCTTTTCAAAAGGAATCTGTGCTCAGCATCTCCTAAAATCTGTTTGATTCCTTTCAATGCCTATTTAGTATCTGTATTCTTTGTAAGAGCTGCACTGTCTTCAGTTTCTGATGCTGTTTTACTGTTCAGGTGCATATTTGATGCTGCATTTTATTTAATAGTACCAGTCTCATAACAGCAGAGGGCTGTACTGCTGGGTGTATCAGAATTACACATTCAATATCTGCACGGCTAAGTCAATTTTCTTTCTCTTTAGAGCCAAAAAGACCCACTTCTGGTTGATAAAATTATGAAAGGCCCGGATTCCAATAATGACAATTAACTGGATTTTAATGAATTTGTCATTCTGGTTGCTGCTTTGATTATGGCATGTAATGATTTCTTTGAAGAACAGCTAAAGAAAGAGGGATTTTAAAAATCCTCTGTATAATCCATCTCCTGATCACAAATGCACGCCAAGCATGCCTAGTTAGGTAGCCCTCATCGGTGTTCAGTGCATGCAAACCACCATCCTCCCAACTGTTACTGCTGTAAGATCTTTATGGAGCTGATCAGCAGCTGGTGTAAGCTGGACCATAGCCAGTTTACACTACTTGAGATCTGGCTTTTAATATTTTCACTCTTTGCGCTCCATGTATCTGTAACATGCCTTCATCTGTTGCCCAGGTCAAGGGCTTGGGGTGACAGATTGTTTGGCAGGAGCTGAGGCTTCTATTTCTTAAATGTCGGTGGAAAGTAAAAGGCACAGGAATGTTCCTTACATACTTTCTAAACGGAAACATTTGGAATGACACATAAAACTTGCAATTTCATTTTCAGTCCTTTCATAACAACCATGTTTTTGCAGCTCAAAACCAGCAGCTTCTTTTTTGCTCAGCTCTGTTAATTCTAAAGCCCTTTTTAGAAGCTGCTCTGTATCTCCCCATACTCGTGTTTCAGATGTGGTCACAGCTGTCTCTTGCTGCCTGAGCAGATGATACTGCTTGCCATTGTTACAGGTTCATTTCCTCCATCTCCCTAGTTTCAATTTTGTTGTGTTGGCATTACTGCATCCCAGTAGTCAACCTCTTCCCCCAGCATAAACAAATTTATTCAGATGATAAATTATTTAAATACATAGGAGATTTAGTCAGCAAACTGCTCTGAGGAGAGATGGAAGGACTGAGTCTTTGGGGAAAATGTGTAAATGCCTTCTTTCACTACTCTGGCATGAGTTAAGAGCAGGGTTTTTGGAGGACCTGGTTAAGAGCAGGGCTTTTAGAGGACCACTTGCAGGGGTTTTAATGATGGAATCCCAGGGTATAACTTTGTAATGTGAGTGATCTTATGGAAGAACGATTTCATCTCACACCAGTCCAACCCACTGCATGGAAACAGTGCAAAGTTTCTGGCATGAGGCAGTAGGACCCCATGGCCAGGGAAGGAGGGAGTAAGACTATCCCTTTCAGAGTAAACTTGTTCTTGAGTTGAATTAAGAGTTCTTCTACACTTCTGTTTAAATTAAGCATATTTTCAAGGCCCTGCAAATCCTCAGAGGCAGGGTGTTGTGGCTTTTTTCTTGCGTGGAAAGCTCTCTTATTTCTTTGTTATTTTGTTGGTAACTTCAAACTATAATAAAAGGCGTCTGAATTCAATGAAGATTTTCTGTTTGTATAAGACGTTAGTAAAAAACATCCCCCAATGAGGATGTGCCCTGCTAGGCAACATTTGAGGAATGCAGTTCACTTGTCTCTCCTTCCCAGACCACCAAGCATCATTCAATAATGACTATATTTTTATGAAATTATATATTATTAAGAATATGTGGTTTATTATAAGCAGGGGGTTCTCTAGTGTGTAATAAATATAACAAGGGGCAGTTATCATCCTAAGAAAGGGGCCACCACCAAATGATGTTATCCCAGAAAAAAAGCAGATTTTGCAGTGACGACAGGGCCACCTGTGCTGCCTCTTCAAGCATTCAGTGACAAAGTTATATAGGATTCACAGAAGATCTTCTATATCAGCACAGCAGAAATTACTAAAGTAAAACTGTCAACAGCTGGGCAACTTGTTGTTCCCCTTAATGTCATGCACCTATATATCACAGCAAGCGTTGGACCAGGATAGCAGGAGTATCAGCTAGAAAACGTAAGACTGCTTTTATGATTCCTCATAGGTCCTGCAGACTGTTGCTAGTCTACAAGCCTTTCACCTTCCTCCAAGAGGAATTGAAAGAAGAGCAGCCTAAAGCTACAACTCCAAGTTAAATGATTGTCCCACTAACGACCAGTTTCTTCTTTATGACTTTTGAGCAAGATGCTTTTGGGAAACAAGCTCCCGAACATTCACAAACACCTTACTCATCCCTGATGAGCTCCTGGACATGTAGCATCCCATGTCCAAAGCAGAATTATGCTGGGTCACAGCTGGCATCAGCTATGTGCCCTGGGGTCAGGCAGCAAGAGTCACTGCCATGATGGAGAGGCTCAGTGGAGTCATCTCATCAGCTGAATTTACTAGGAATTGTGTGCATCCTAATTCCTCTGTGGAAGGGGCTTGCTTGTACATGAGCTGTGGGTGAATCAGAGGAGAATGACTCAAATGGTCTTTGTTCCAACAAAGTTTTATAAAACCTCATAAATCACCCTTTTTAGCTTGGCTGGTTAGGTTTTTCTTGTTGCTGTTTTAACTGTAAGGACAAATGTTAAACTCTTCCAGCTTTAAAGAAGAAACATTTTTGTATAAAGACTGGAAACAAAGCAGGAAAAAAAAATGCACAAAACACATTCAAATGCTCAAAACTGCAAAGCCTTGGGACAGTTTGGGGTTCTGAGATAAGACTTGCCATCCTATTATTGGGCTATCTACGGGCTGACCTACTGCACCAGTGGTCCTCTCTCATTCCTCTCCCATTGGAGCCAACTAATGTTGCATTACTAGAGGTCACTTTTAAGAAAGATACCTGAAGGTCAGCTGAAAGTTTTCAAGTTGCCTCTGAACCAGAAAAAACTGCCAGCAATCCCCTGTTCTGTAAGCATTCCTCAGAAAGGAATTGCATTGAAGCTCTTACACTGGCTGTGCAAGATGATGCTTGCAAGGCCAACCTTGCTATAGCCACTTTGTCTTGCAGATGTGAACATTTCAGGTTTAGCTTCTCTCAGAAGGGAAAAATGTCTCCTTCAGACATGGAGGCAGAATTTTTTTCTCATTGTTTACTGACACTTATCCTGCGGACTTCAAGTCTTCGTGTAGTTCATTAATCTAGGAAGCATTTTGAAGTTGTACATGCAAAGGAAGCTTGCTGTGTGGCTTTCTCCAAAGTCTCTCAGCTTTAGGAATTATGTCTAATTACAGACATTTTTTTTTTCATTTGTGTTATCATTTGTGTATATTGTGTTTTTTCATTTGTGTTCATTTGTGTCTGAAAAATCTATAGAAAATTGAACACCACAATATGGCCTATATTTTCAAGTTACTTTAAAGACCAATAAAAATACAGCAATGTCAGAGAAGATCTCTCTATATTGTGAAATTGTTTTGCTTGACATCTAAATAGTAGATTTTCAGAAGATAAATTATATTATCTTGAAAGCCTCAGCCCCTGCCATTTGCTTTTATTTCAGTTCAAAAAAGACTGCAAGTGCCAGTACAACTGGGCACACAAAGCTTGATGCATTATCTGTTAATAAATTTATAACTTCTTCAGATTCAATATCCAACTGCCAATCTTATGACCATAAAGATAAGTGTTTTGTAATGGAGCTGTGCATCCAAGCTGTGACTTATTGGTCATGTCCAGTAGAAAGGCACTACCTTTCCTACTCTTCAGCAGTGTAGAGGGTGTCAAGTGCAGTGGGATAATCTCCTTCCTACACCACCACTTCCTGTTTGTAAAGGTGAAAACCTAAGTTTGTTTGGGTTGTGGAAAGGAGAGAGAAGTGACTCTAGGAGACACCAACAAAAGAGGTGATGTTTCCAGTAGCCAGCAGTGTCATTAACTGCTTTCTATCCAATTCTACCCCCGGTCACTTAGCCACCCAAGGCAGATCCCCTTTCCAGGCTCCACGCTACAGCATAAAGCATAGCATGACCAGGAGGGAAACTCTCAGGAATAGCTCAGAGTCCACCATTCCACCTCAGCAATGAACAGAAAAGATCCAACTCCTCTCTAATCACAACCTTGAAAAGGTTGGGTAAATGGTCAAACACAAAACTTGTATCTGAAATCAGATTAATCTATATAAAGGTTTTTGACTGGCAGGAAGATTTGTTAGACTGTAGTGTGACATCATGCGCATGTCTAATAAAGGCTTTGATTGACAGGCCAACAATTATCAGATGTGTCTTTAGGAATAATTAAGTCTGTTGAATGGCACTGTATTATTTGAAAAAAAAAAAAAGGGGGTCACATTTTCAATTTTATCTTTCTACTTCCACACACTATGGTATGAGAGAGAATGTTTTATTTATGATCTGGTAATCTGTTTTCCAAACTAAGTCCATCCACGTCTTTTCCTCTGAGCTGGAATATGGTGGGTTACAGCCTCTGGGCAGCCATCAAAGAGAGCACATGAACGAACTGCACCAGAAATAATAAAGAAGAAAAAAAAAGGCAAAAAACTTGTCCTTTTTGAATGCCAACTCTCATCCACCTGCAATCAGTTGTGTATGAGGGGCAACTCCCAAGGAAGAGAACTGCAGCTGCATCTACTTGTTTTGCCCTTGCAAGTAGATTCTCAGCTGATGTAAAATGACAGAGCCTACTGCACTTCGTGGCATAATTTTGTAACAGCTGAGAACATGTGCTTGAGACTTTAAATTAGCCTTCAGTGGAAAGCTGTGTTTCTGTAAGCTGGTTGGCTAAGTAAGAACATCTGTAAAATTACCAGTATTGCAACAAGACAGTTAAGAGGAAGACAGAAGAAGCAGTTGTTCTGAGCAGAGGTATTTGGGGGGAAATTAGTGGAAATGTTTCTGTTACATATTTGCTTTAAATTCTAAGCTGTCCTTTGAGGTCCTGGTTGACTTCATGGGTTGCAAAGCAAATCATTGTAGTATAGCTTTCAAATATCTATCAGTGGACTCTGCCTTAAAACATCATGTATTGCTTTGACTCTACATTCCCAGCAGTTACATAAACCCAGAAAAGCACTACAGAGTAAAGGTATGGCAGGAAAAACACGTGAGGGTAGAAAAAGTTGCAAAGTGCAGAAAAGCAACTGAACCACATGGGGCAAAATTAAGATTGTGTTTTGGGAGCTGGAATATGGCAAGAAGTTGAGAATGTTGAAGAAAGATGTAAATTCCTCAGCTCTGACTGGAGACATCAAATGGTTGCAGCAAATAGATCCCTGCGGCTGAGCAAAGTGGCTGGACAAGATGCAGGGCTGGAGAGCTTCATCCCATTAAACTATTGATACCTTGGCTAGGTGA